TTTTTTTTTCCAGTTTTGGTTATTAATATGACCCAAAATGAAAATCTGTATCAAATATAAACTTAAAAGAGACGTTCATAGAATTGGAGTCTTAAGTATGTTTTTATTGTCTTGACCGCTGTTACCGTGATGATTTAAATAGACTTTTAACACATACGTTTGGATCTTTCTTTAAAACCGGGATGCTCTGTATATCTTATTGCTTAGAACATCTTTTCTGTAAAGCAATTCCAAACATTAAAGAACATAATTAAATTGTCTCCCACTCATTAAAATGCTCAATTTTTATTTTTACTATTTTATGAGCTTTTAAAGTGATTAAAAAGGAAGGACTATAGAAAGTACTGTGTTCTTAAAAGGAGACTTAGGCTTTCTAATTGTGAAAAAATGTTAATCTATTAATGGATAACTGTAGTCTTTCTATAGTAGAATTAGGAAATTTAGCAACTGAATATGCCTATATTACTAAAATTATTTGTATCAATCTCGTGACTTTGATCTTTGATGTTTAATTTGTAAAAGCAACATCCCTATGTAAAATGATTTGCTGGTTTTAAATGTGTTAACCTCTGCCTACAATTAACAACCTAATTTGAAGAAGGGGAAGATGGGCTAAAGACTTTTAAGTTAAACCAGGAGTCCCCAGGCTTCCTTATTTCTCCTATTTAAAGCTTTGTTTTTCTAACACTTAGGAATATTTTAATACACTTTCTTTGAATAGAATTTCCTGGTCTTATAAGTATCACCAAGGAAAAAAATTAACAGTTGCACTATAGTAGAGTTTCTAAGCAGTAGTAGTCATATACTCATATTTTTCTATAATTGAAAGCTGTAGAAGTAGGAAAAGGATTATTTAAATTCATTCAGACCAGCAATTTTCCCAGACTCCATTTAAATCATAAGCACTCAATTCTGGGTTCATCACATGGCAAGTTGATTTATTTCTAAAATTGTATTTTTGTACTCACTTGTTTTATAAGCTCAGTTGCATGCTCCAAAGATAATTTCTTGAACTCGGATGAATCGCATTCATTTCTCTCATTTTCTCAGTGCTGTTGCAGAAGCTGATGGTATCGATCCATTAATACATACTCTGTCTAGTAAACGAGACGGGGCCATTGCCAACGCTGCTACAGTCTTAACAAACATGGCCATGCAGGAGCCCCTGCGCGTGAGCATCCAGGGCCACGACATCATGCACGCCATCATCAGCCCGCTGTGCTCTGCAAACACGGTCGTGCAGAGCAAAGCCGCCCTCGCCGTCGCTGCAACTGCGTGCGACGTGGAGGCCCGGACAGAGGTGAGAGTGTTAACATCCATTCTCTCGTTTCTCTGGTCAGTGCCTATTGGTGGATTCATTTGAAACATTTTCATGTGTTTGAACCTATCCATCATTTAAGTCCTTCAAAACTGGTTCAACACTTTGGAAAACAAACTGGCATTTTTTTTTTTTTTTTGCAAAGAAGGTGAGCATGGCCTTAAACCCAGCAATTCCACTTCTAGGTATCTAAGAGGTACCTAAGAGAATCTCCTGCCTTTGTGCCCCAGGAAGCATTATCTATAATAGCTATAAACAACTGGAAACAAACCAATTGTCCAACTGTTAGAGAATGGATACGTAAATGGTGGTGCACTCATATAATGAACCTCATGTCATTGAAAATGAAGGAACTACAGCTACAGACATCAGCAGGGACAAACTTCACAAGCACTATGCTGAGCAAAAACAAGTTGTAGAAGAATACATCCTTATGATTGCATTTATATAACATTAAAAACATGAAAAGTTCAGCAGTTTGTTGTTTAGGCATACATACATGTAAGTTAAAAGTATAAAGAAAAGCGAGAGAATGATTAATCCCAAATTCAAGAAAGTGGTTGCCTCTGGGGCAGGTAAGTGGGTAGATATGATTGGGAGGAACACATGGGGTTCAATGTCATTGAAATGTGTCATTTCTTAAGTTGGGTGATAGACAAGCACATGTGCCTTTTACTAGGATTCTCTAAATTATACGAGGGTACTTCATGGAAAAATAGAATTCAAAGATAATATGAATCTTTTCATGAGCTTTTTGAAGTACCCTTGTATGTATAGATTATATATACTCTTGTGTTTCTCTTATATTTCATAATTTTAAAACATACAATTGAATTTTTTTGAAAGTCCATCATATAAAAATGTTTTTGGTGCTTATGGTGATCCTATTAAATCTTCATATAAACCTGATAGAGAATACAAACATCCTTTTTCTCTCAATTTTCTCATATTTATGTATTACCATTGCACTCATTCAAACAGCCTGGGACTTTGTTCCTTTCTCCCCAATAGAAATAACAAATGCTAACATTTACTGAGCACTTACTATATGCCAGGCACTGTGTTAAGCACTTTACATGCATTTAAGCCTCACTCGAGATAGATATGTTTGTAATCCCCATTTTACAGATGAGGAAAATGAGGCTTAAAGAAATACTGTGTTCAAAGCAGAGTTGATAAGTGGCAGATCAGGGATATGAGAACACATCTTTCTGAGTCCGGAGACCAAGCTTCACAGAGAACCACCTAATCTTTTTTTCTCTGTCTCTTAGATACCTATTCTATCCACACTTCTTTGTTGCCATTGAGTCAGTTCATTTGTACTCATCCATTCAGGTGGTACTCACCAGATATGTATCTGCCAACTGCTATGTGCCGGGCACTGTGCTAGGCATTGGGAACACAGTGATAAACAAAAGTGTCATTGTCATACGTTCATGCAGCTTGTAGAGAAGCCCATCTATTTACTGGAATATTGCAGGAGACTTTCTACTGCTTTCCTTCCCCTGCTACCTCCTGCTTTCCAGACTGCCTCCAGATTGATCTTTCAAATGTGTGACCCTCAGCACATCATCGCCACATGGGAAAAGTTAACCCACTTTGCGTCACATGCAGGGGCCCTCCATGATCTGCACCTAGCCGCCTAAACAGCCTAAGCTCCAGCTCTTTCCGGGTGGAACTCTACACTCCAGACATACCATACCACTTGTAATTCTATCGCAATTCTCTGTTCTCATTTATACCTCCTTCATTTCTCAGCTTGGAAAGCTAGTCTCTCTTTTATACACCTGATAAATTCCTATTTCTCCTTCAAAAGCCAGCTCATCCATCCTGTCCCCCAGGAGGCCTTTCTTCAGTCCTCCAGCTTGGGTGTGTCCCCTCCATGCCCTATTACATCTCATTCATCACTCCCCTCTCTTCCTTTTTTGCATGTTGTGGTTCTTGTATGAAAAACTATAAGCTCTTGAGGGTTTAGGGAAGGGAAATGAGATTTTATTTTTTCCCTGTGTCCATGTCATTAATATATACCTGGCATATAATGTATGCTTAATACACAATCGCTAAATGAATGAATGAATGGAGGATTTAATAAATGAATTAGATCTTTGCTAAAGGAACACATGGAGTTATATTACTATCTTGTGTTATACCCAGATAAAGATGTTCAGAACTTTGGTTTGCTAAGCCTAGGATGGCTCAGGTGAACTTTTCTAAGCTGCCCAAGTACATGTGCTGACATGTAAGCCCTGCCAGAGTCCCTGTGTTTCAGATGAGCATGGCTGAAAGTGGAACATATTCCACAAGGACTTTGAATACTACACATGCAGAGGTAGAATATTCTTTTTACTCTTCAGGCTCAGATGATACAGTGTTGCATTTCAGAGGAGACAAAAGCTCTGTCAGATTTTTTTTTTCCCTGATTGGAATAATTTCATACATGAGTAATTTCTTTTAATAATGTAATTAATGTAGTTCCTATAGTTCCATCCAATTCTCTTCTTGTTCCTTTTCTTCTCTTCACTCTCTGGAGAAACTAAGAGCCCTGATTGGAATAATTTCATACATGAGTAATTTCTTTTAATAATGTAATTAATGTAGTTCCTGTAGTTCCATCCAATTCTCTTCTTGTTCCTTTTCTTCTCTTCACTCTCTGGAGAAACTAAGAGAAGATGCTATATTAGGACAGCAAAGATGGGTCTATTTTTAAAGAATCGTTTCAGTGTTGCTTTGGCCACACTGCTTGGTGTGGTGGCCAGGTCCAGTGATGTGGGTGGTGCTTGCCTGCACTGGTTTCTCCTGCCACAGCCTTAGGGACTGTATTAGTTTCCTGTAGTTTTGGTAGCGAATTACACCCCCTTCATGGCCGAAAGCAGTACAAATACATTATCTTACAGTTTGGGAAGTCAGAAGTCTGAAAATGTTTCTTATGGGCTAAAATCAAGGTGTCGACAGGGCTGCATTCCTTCAGGAGGTTTGAGGGGAAAATCTATTTCCTCACCCTTTCCAGGTTCTCGAGGCTGCCTGCATTGCTGGGTGGTGGCCCTTTCTTGATCTTCAAAGCCTGTCACTGGCCCCTCTGCATCCATCACATTTCCTATTTCTGCTTCTGGCCCTCCTGTCTCACGCTTGTAAGGCTCCTTGTGATTGCACTGGGCCCACCTGGATAATCCAGGATAACCTCCTCATCTCAGGGTCCTTAACTTAATCCATCTACAGAGTCCCTTCCAGAGACGAGGACATCTTTGGGGGAGCATTATTCAGCCGACCACAGGACCAAATGAACATTCCATGCTCAGGAGCAGAGCGAGCATCCCGTGTGTAGGCAGTGAGAAGACAGGCTCTTACCCAGTCCCTGTCCCATGTAAAATCAGGATGACCTCCTCCTGTTATTTCACTGGGGCCTCTCCTTTACATTCGACAGAAAACTGGGCTTCTGTCTGTCAGGGTTTGCAATAGATTTTTCACCCTGAATTTAAGTCTAAATATGTACACATACTAAAACATTTTTACATAGTCAAAACCTTGTAATAATCAGTTGATGAGCTTTTTAAAAGCATAAATGTCTATATTCTATATTCTTAATGCATAAAATATTGGCTTCTGCTTTTAGTTTAGAAATTCTGGTGGATTGGAGCCCCTTGTAGAGCTCCTGCGCTCAAAGAATGATGAAGTCAGAAGGCACGCCAGCTGGGCCATCGTGGTCTGTGCCAGTGACGAGCTGATGGCCGTTGAATTATGCAGGCTCGGGTGAGTGGATGCCGGCTCCAGTCTCTGGCTCAGAAGAAGAGCAGAAGATGGAGAAGCACACTCTTCAGGCCCAAGGAAGGCCAAGCAGAGTCCACACTGCCCCCATCAGTCAGCAGAGCACTCAGGAGCTCTGCGTGTCCCCAGCATGGGCCTTAGCTCTGAAGGGCTGGGCGTCCCCATTCCTCCCCACCTGGGTGCTCCCTCGTGGGCCTTTGCAGAATCACCTTCAGTATTTCCTTTTTCACTTCCTTATCTTGATAATTGCTTCTCTTCTGCTTTTCTCTGCTGTTGCCAAACACAGTCCTCTTCATCTCTCAGCTTCAAGGCTACAGTAAAATGGGTGAGCCATGACTGCCGTCTCTGTTTTTCTTCTCCCCCACCCCACTGACCCAAATCTTTGCACCAGAATCTGTAGTTAACCATCCTTGCCCAGTCGTTTCTCCTTACAAACAGCAGATGACTTAGTTGCCTTTGGCATATCAATGAGCAGGTTTATTCTACTAATATCTATCTGTTTTTATTCTTTGTATGTACAGTATCGCCACGTTAGCCAAAAAGTTGGGGTTCAATACTAATTGTGCTTTAAATGAATTTTTTTCCCTACAAGTATCCTTTTCAACTGTTTGAATATGAGTTACTTCATTGCAAATATGTTCTCAAAAAGTGCTGATTTGTCCTCATAATTCTGTTAGTATTACTTTATCTAAAAGGGTGGGGGAGGCATTCAGCTTTTCATTTCAATTTTTCACTCAGAGATCATAAGTGGGTATATAAATGGGAACTTAAGGTTGAATTGCTTGTATAAAGCAAGTAATGCTTTCTGCTTTTATTGACAGGGCTTTAGATATCCTTGAAGAAGTTAATCTATCAGTAAGTCGAAAAAATAAATTCAGTGAGGCAGCTTATAACAAACTGCTCAACAATAATCTTTCCCTGAAGTATAGCCAGACTGGCTATTTGTCATCAAGTAACATAATTAGTGATGGATTCTATGATTATGGTCGGGTAAGTGGCAGCACTTATTTGTGTTTTAGTATGTATGATAATTTCTTCTTTAATCATAATGTTGTTATATTACAATTTTATAACCACCTAACACAATTTATATTTTTATAGACAGAAATTTGAAAATCAGCACCTCATCCTTAACTTTGGCTATAAGATTTTGCATATTTGTACAATTTTAACTGGACTCTGATTACCTGTAGTTGAGTCAGTTTGCTAATGCTAGTCTCAAGTTTCAGATAATATATAAAAGAAGGAACATTATCAATTTTGGGGTTCTATGACATCTAGGACACAGCATTGGTGATAAGGATAGATAATTTATTTTATTAATTATATTCTAATTGAAATTAGCCAAATTTTAATGCTGGATTAAAAAATATGACATAGAAGAATATTATTTTACTTAACTACATTTTTATTATGATTTTAAAACAAGATTTAGTGTAATTTAGTGTTAATTTTGAGAGAGGTGGGATGCTAAAAATTAAAATCTTCTGTACTATTTTTTTTTTTTTTTTTTTTTTTTTTTTTTTTTTTTTTTTTTTTTTTTTTTTTTTTTTTTTTTTTTTTTTTTTTTTTTTTTTTTTTTTTTTTTTTTTTTTTTTTTTTTTTTTTTTTTTTTTTTTTTTTTTTTTTTTTTTTGACAGCTGGCCGGTACAGGGATTGAACTCTGGACCGATCAGCACCATACTCCAGCCAACTGAGCTAATTGGCCAGCTCCTTTCCTCAAAAAAAATTTTTTTGAGTACTTTTTGACATGGCTGCTTAAGTTGGCATTTTCTATTTCTTCTGGAAACCAAAAGCAATAAGGAGAATGGGGAAAAATTTAAAAACCCATAAATGCAAAACTAGAAAACAGATAAGAGTCACAGACTTCAGAAAATTTGAAGGGTTGCCAAAAGCCTCTGAGCTCAGGCAGGAGCTATGCAGGAGAAAAAAGGAGAAGGACAAAAAGAATCACAGAGAGGAACAGGAGAGCTAGTGCCAGAAGAAGCACCACCAAAAATACAAGCCTCCTGAGGGCATAGGAGAACTCAGAAGTGCAGAAGCAGTTGCAGGAACTCAGGCCTGGAAGAGCAAGCTGGAAGCGCAAGCTGGAAGCAGGAGCCCATTGGACAGCTGTGCTTCAAAGGAGCAGAAGGGACAAGGCCATAAAAGATTCACAGAGCCGAGACATATTTGCAGGTGGCACTCCATCGTGGTAGTGGGATTAGAGAAATGTTGAATAATGAAAAACAGCTAGCCTACAAATTTACTCTTCCTTCTTTCTCCCCAACCCCTGCCACCTGCCACCACCACACCCTGTAACACACATGAACCACTGAGAAATTGCTCCAAGAAGGTTCATCTCATTCAATGATGAATATAGTTGGCCCTCCGTATCCACGGGTTCCACATCCACAAATTCAATCAGCCACAGATCGAAAATATTCAAGGAAAAAAAAAATAACAATACAATATTGAAAAATAACACAATATAGTATAAAACAGTAAATGAAAACAATACAGTATAACTACTATTTCCATAGCATTTACATTGTATTAGATATTATAAGTAATCTAGAGATGATTTAAAGTATACAGGAAGATGTACATAGGTTATATGTAAATACTACCCTGTTTTATATCAGGAACTTAAGTATCTGAGGATTTTGATGCCTGTGTGTGGTGGTGGGAGGTGGGGTCCTGGAACCAATCCTCTGCAATATGGAGGGATGACTACCATTTAAAAAGAACCAACACAACATCCGTACAAAGATGCTTTAAGAAAACTGATAAAAAGAGCAGAAAAACCAACACAGAACACTTACCAGGAAAAAGTTGCCATAGATCAAATAACATTGTGACAAAATGTATTTGGTCATGAGTTTTTAAAAAATATTTTAATGAGACAATATCCTTCATAAAGGAGAATTCTCAGGTTCATTCATTCAGTAAATATTAAGTTTCTGATATATGTAGGGTTTGAAATGTCAGTAAACAAAAAAGATAACAGATCTCAGCTTCCTTGGTACCAGTGGGAGGAGACAGAAAACAAACAACAAACATGATAAATAAACAAATTATATCATATGATAGAAATGACGAGAGCTGCGGGAGAAAAGAAAGTAGACAGAGGCAGGATGAGGGGCTCTGTATTGCTGGGGAGTGCTGGGGTTGATGGTTGCAGTTCTAAAAACTGTGGTCAGGTAGGCCTCAATGACAGGCTGATAATATCTGAGCAAAAACTTGGAGGAGGTGAGGGACTTAGCCACAGGGATATCTGGAGGAAGAGCTTTCTAGGCATAAGAAACAACCAGTGTAAAAGCCATAAGGTGTAGACATGCTTGGCATGTTTAAGGAACAGCAGAAAGGCCAGGGTGGCTAGAGCCGAGTGAAGTGACGGAATAGTAGAGACTAAGTCAGAGAGGTAAAGAGGGGCCCGATCATATAAGTCCTGTGGACCACTGGAAGGAATTGGCCTTGCCTCTGCATGAAATGAGCTAGAGCCAAGTGAAGTGAGGGAATAGTAGAGACTAAGTCAGAGAGGTAAAGAGAGGCCCGATCATATAAGTCCTGTGGACCACTGGAAGGAATTGGCCTTGCCTCTGCATGAAATGAGAAACCATGGCAGGGTCCTGGGCAGAAGAATGACAGGATCTGTCTAATTTTAAAAAGATCATGAAAGTATCTTGGATGAGAAATGGATCTAACTACTTATAACTTGATCGGAGAAGAATCTCAGAAGGTGATTTAGTCTAGCCCTCTTCAACTAGGCTGGTAAAATTGCCAGTATAGGACCTTGTCTAGACTACTTTTAGATATCCTCACAACACTTTTAGTAATCTGTATCAGTACTTAGTAACTTTTACAGGCAGTAAATTCTCCCTTAGGTGTATAGGTGGATTTGCAACCTCGAATACTTTCAGGGGTCAAGATCATAAGAAACAGCCTAGTGTAAAGCAATAAAGATGTGGGAAACTGGAGGGACATAACCTGCTCAGAGAAAAAATGTGCACAAGTTTCACATTCCTACTTCTCATTTTATATATGAGTATTATTTGGGTGTGTATGGGTGTGAAATTAGACACCAACAAACAGTTGAGAACATATCCTATCAGTATTCATTTTAAAAAATATGACCCATGCAGGTATTATTTTTTGGTCCTTAAATTATCTTACAGATAAAACGCGGCGCCAAATTTTTGTCTTTGAAGGAGCTCTGCTTGCAAGAACCAAGTGATCTACATACTGTACTCTTAATTAACAGTAAATTTTCTGATGTGTGAGTCTTTTGGGGAGGGGAGTATGTAGAGAAACATTTTTTTTTTTTTGTCCGTCCACATGTGAATATGTAAAGATTCCCAGTACAATGTCTTTCTTTTCCCCTGTGTCTAGCACCACCATAAAAGTAAACCCTGGCTCATAAGCTCATAGCCTGACAGGGAATAACCATCACCACAAATCTGCTTTTTGTCCTTTTGACTCCATGACACCAATCAATTTCCAGTGTTTCTAAAGTCAGTGTCTCTTATCTTTGGAGTAACTGAAGAAAGTATAGATAGGAACAAACCAAGATGAATTATGTTTACAAGTCTCCAGAACTGTGTGACGGAGTATAACTACCACCCAACATTTTTCTTTGAAATAAGAAAGCAAATGGTAGAGCTAAAAATTAAAGCTTCAACATTCTTCTTTAAAACGATCATATACAAGGGTACTTCAAAAAGTTCATGGAAAGATTTGTATTATTTTTTCATTTCCTTTTTCTACAAACTTTTTGAAGAACACTTGTATATCTACATATCTATATAGTACTTACGTGATACATTTTATACAAATATTTCCTGTTCTTGCTTATAAAAAGCTTTATAATATTCTTTATGTCTTATCTTAACCTCTCCTTTATGCTTTTAAAATAGTATGTTACTGTTAAAAGTCAGCTCCAAATATGACTTTAAGGGAAAAAATCTGCTTTGTGGGATAAAGTCAATACTGACAAATAAATTAATTTGTACATAATTTCAAATGTATGAAATTTTAGTTCTCCACCTCCATCTACGGAAGATAAATCATCAGATGTTGGTTATGGACGAAGTATTTCTTCTTCATCTTCCTTAAGAAGAGCAAGTAAAGAAAAGGCCAAGTAAGGAAATGATGTTTTATCTATACTCAAATAATTCTCTCTTTCATTTAGGAGTGAAAACATTTTTTAGATCTTAGATTTTGAAAACTTGATTTTTATTCTTCTTTTGGTAATATAATTGTGAAATTGCTTTTTAAATTGCTGTGAAAAAAAGATCTCTGGAAAATGAGCCAGGAATCCTGGTTCCGTCTTCTGTGTGCTGTGGACCTACAGTGATCTTGAGCCCCACGACCTCGTGTCTCGGAGCAGTTTTAGTTTCCTTAGCTGTAGGTGGAATAATGCCCTGTCCCCTGCTTCATAATGGCAAAAGGAATCAAATCATATAATGGAAGTGAAAAGGTGTGATAAACTACAAGATGCCTTGTAAATGTAACATTTTGTTATTTTCCATATGATTGAAATTTGGTTGTGTTTTTTTTCAAATGACCAACAAAAAATTAGTTATCGTTTCAGTGCTGGGCTTGTATCTCCCACGGAAATGCTGGACTTGTATCTCCACGCCCCTACCTCTGGACGAAATACTGTTCTTAGCAAAAGCGCCGCTAAAGAAAAAGGATTGAGGTAGGAAATGTCATCCTATTCTTTCCCTGATTATAATCACATCAAGTTCTAATCATCTCGCAAGGTTGGTGGAAGAGAGGAGTGGCTTTTAAACAAGTTTTTCTTTCAAAATCAGTAAGTATAAAGAACTACGCAAGACTCATGAGATGTAACTAAAAAGTAATTTTATTTTTTTCTCTCACCAGCTCTTTATAAAATTTACCCAGAGAGAATTTCTTCTCCTGACTCTGGGTGAGAACTCGGGACACTTTGATCACTTGTATGAACTATAAAGTCCTACAGCCACTTTAATTCTGAAATGACAATAGAAATAGCACTCTCTAGTCAGTCATTTAAAAGTCCAACCCTGGGGCCGAGCCCATGGCTCCTGCCGCGGGTTCGGATCCTATATAGGGATGGCCGGTGCACTCACAGCGCTCACTGGCTGAGCGCGGTGCGGCCGGTCTCAAAAAGGACAAAAAAAAAAAATTAAAAAAAAATAAATTAAATAAATAAATAAATAAATAAATAAATAAATAAAGTCCAACCCTGGGTAGTAATTAACTTAAGTGAACTCCTGGGTTTCCCCCAGCTGCTACCTCTTGCAGGTGGGAAGCCATAGCCTCTGGGGTGTTGTCCCCTCTCTCTTTCCCTGTCTGTGCTTCCCACCCTGTCCTCATCTTGCTCACCCAGTCTCTGACCATTCAGCGTGGAAGCAACCAGAAGGAGGAGAGGGGAACAGGACAAAGCTCTTACTAGGTTGAAACAATTATAATGTGCTTTTGTGCTTTCTGGGCCTGGCTTATTTTAAATGTGCTTTCGTCTACATGTTCACATATTTTTAAAATTAATTAATTTTTATTTAACATAACAATGGCACAATGGTACAGTGTGATACTTCAGTATGTGTAATTGGCAGAACTTTCAAAATCCTCTCCTCTTGCTATTTTGAAATATACAATATATTATTGTTAACCGTAGTCACCCCACTGTGTCTTGGAACGCTAGAACTAATTCCTCCTATCTAACTGTAGTCCCTTGACCACCCTCTCCCTATCCTCCTCTCCACCCTGTCCCTCCCTACCTCTGGCCACAAGTCTGCTGTCACTTTTATTGTGATTGTTCAACCACATGTTATGATTCAAATTGAAGGACTGTGTTCAACCACATGTTATGATTCAGATTGAAGGACTATGTTCAACCACATGTTATGATTCAGATTGAAGGACTATGTTCAACCACATGTTATGATTCAGATTGAAGGACTAAAGAAATGAATTCCTCAGTAGAATTTTTCATGAAGCAGCTAAGGAGAAATGCATCATGGATCATAAATCTTTTCAGTTTGTTATAGCAGAAGAATCTAGCTTTCGTCATAGACATCTATTGCTTGCTTGTTTGGTAGTGCCAAAAACCTATTTATTTTTGTTTGTTTTTTGGTTTCACATACTTTTTTTAAAAAAATTTTTGATTATACATATTTATGGGATACAGAGTTGACTATCAGTATTTGTATATAGAATGTGATAATCGAATCAATGTTATTAGCATGTTCATCATTGCAAATCATAATTACTTTTTGTGTCCCTTACCCAACCACTCCCTAATCCCCCTCCGCCTCCCCCTTTCCCACCTCTAGTAGCTACAGGTCTGTTCTCTCTTGAAAGTTCAATGTTTTATTGTGATCTCTCTCTTTCTCCCTCCCTCCCTCCCTCCCTTCCTCTCCCTCTCTCCTTTCTTTCTTAGCTCTCCCTTATGAGTGAGGATGTGCAGTATTTCTCTTTCTGTGCCTGCCTGCATGTTTACATATTTTAAAAATATATTTCTTCTCTTGTGAGAACTTCCCTGGATTCAAAAAACAAAACAAAACATTTGGACCTCTTGCCACACTCAATGACCCTGCAATTAATGTGGACTTAAGCCTTTGAGAACCACTGCGATTTTGGAGGCTATTTAGCACACATACCAAACATCTACTTTCTTTTTTTTTTTCTTTTTTTCGTGTCCGGCAACGGACCGCAACCCTCAGTGTCGCGCCCGTACCGGACCGGGACTGGCAACGGGATCGCACCCCTCGGTGCTGCGCCCGCATCTCGCTCAGCCAGTGAGCGGGAACCGGTCTGTATGTGGGATCCGAACCCTCAGCGGGAGCGCCGCCGCACTCCCAAGCGGCGCACTGTAGCATTGCGCCACCGGGCCGGCCCTCAAACATCTACTTTCTTTTTTTTTTTTTCTTTTTGTCTTTTTTCGTGTCCGGCAACGGACCGCAACCCTCAGTGTCGCGCCCGTGCCGGACCGGGACCGGCAACGGGATGGCAACCCTCG